AGGACAGAAATTAAGGTCAAGGGTTTCCACTGTCTTGGTTCTCAAATTGAGATAACGGGAACCAGATGGTTTTGGTTGTTATTTCAAGTATTTAGTAGTATTCTGACGTTGATGTTTTCAGAGAACAGTTCTGAGTGTGCTTAGTCCCTCATTATCAGCCCTCAAACTCTGAAAGCCATCTGTGGAAGAAGGGAGGCAGCTGTATCCCTTTGCAAATCTGTTTGTAAGGTGTAAGGTGTTTGTAACCCTGAGTATATTAGTTGTGGGTAGGAATGAGCTGTTGTTCAGATGGGTTTCAAGGATGCTGCGAGAGGACTTCAGGTTTTGGAGAAAGATGAGCTATGGGAGCACAGGGAGGTTTCCCATGTTTTCAGTCCTGTCTCTGCAGCACTGTTCATAGTTCAGATTTTTTGAAAGTTCTGCTTACCTCCAAGTCCCATCTCCCAGGTTTTCTTTTTTTTTAATCAAATATTCTTGCATTTCTGTCCCTATTCTCCATCTTCTCATGAATTTTTCATCCAGTCATGATGTTTTGTTTGCATTTTGTTTCCTCCTCCTAGTGCCACACTCTTCTCGCACTCAGCTGCTGTTGTGTTGTCCCTGATTCTTCTCAGGGGATTAGCTCGCCTTCTTGCTCAGCTTTAGTTTTAGACTTCTTTTCCCTTCCCTGAGCATGTTCTCCTGCTTCCTTCCCAGCCACCTGGCTTTTCATTCCAGCCCACATATAATGTGGTGTTATATTTCCCAAGTCTGATAAGGGCATCAGTCTGATCTGTTGCAGCAGCCCATCAGCAGCCTCCCAACAAGCTCTGCTGGTCTAGTCCTACTGCTTTCTTCTGCCGTGGAAAGTGGATCTATAGTTAGACATTTTCTATGGCTGGACATAAGCTGTAGAAGCGTAACATTCATGTGCTGTGTCACAGCAGTTCTTACAGTCATGTGGGGATAAGCAGTGACTGCAGGCAGGACTAGGTCTGCTTCTGTTGAGCAGGAGGATAATGTCAACATGGAGCATTTGGGACACAAGGCGAGAGAAAAATTCATCAATCCCCAGGACTCTGGAGGGCCTCTCCTAGAGTGCAAGGACTTCTTTATCCAAAACACATTGTGATCTCTGGTGAGAGGAATTCAGCTGCGGGCTAGCAGTAACTGACCTACGTACAGGTCTTCCTTTATGGTGTATTGGTGTACAATGTCAGTAACATAAGTGGTTATAGTTGGTGTGTTTTCAGTGCTCTTCCATTTGCTTCACAGTGCGATAACTGCGGAATTGAACCTATCCAGGGTGTTCGGTGGCACTGCCAAGACTGCCCTCAAGAAATGTCCTTGGATTTCTGTGATTCTTGTTCTGACTGGTGAGCAGCAAACACTTCTACTTGTTTGTAATTAGCTTGAATCTCTTTATGTGGCTTAATTGCTATGTATGTTGGAAATCTTTTCTCCAGCATAGGAAACGTATCCTGTGTTGGGTAAAGTGGAAGATACTTTTGTTTGTATTTGTGGGAGATAAATTTTGTAACATATCCTGGATGTATAAATCTTTTTTTTCCTAATGCAGTGGACAGGTTTGAGACTGTTGAATAGTGGGGGAAATTACACTTTAGGAATTAATTGGTACCAAATTTGGTATGAATCTGTTAATATGATCATTGTTTCTGAAAGTTAAGGAAAATGATTGACTTTTAAACTGTTATCTTTTTCTTTCCCTTGCAGTCTGCATGAAACAGAGATTCATAAGGAAGATCATCAGTTAGAACCTATTTACAGAGCAGAGACATTTTTAGACAGAGACTACTGCATGTCCCAGGGCACCAGTTACAATTATCTTGACCCAAACTACTTTCCAGCAAATAGATGACATGGGAAGCAGATCTACCATCTTGGGCTTAGTATCCTCTTTGAAAAATAACAATGGCACCATTGTTAGTTCTGTGCACATTTTGGAAAGACTCTGCTTTCCCTGAAATGTCACTCACAGCATGACAGCTTCCTGGGTGTACTTGTCAAACTACAGCTTTGAGCTGTCATGGTTCTAGATCACTGAACAGCAGCTGAACATTCCTAGTGTGCAGAAGGTTTCACTGGGAGAGTTTTCTTTCACCACGTTAGTCATTTTTAGGTGGTGAATCTAAACACAAAAGAAAAACATACAAAAGGGTGAGCCAGAAATGAGAGCACACATTAAAGATAGAGTAAATTCCAAAGGCTTTGAAGAACTTGGTTATAATGAGATCCAGAGGAGATGAAGTATTTATATAAAAACAGTTTAGTAGCTTGCAGTTTTGTTGTGAAATAGTTTTCAGCACAGTAACTGACTTCTTTAGGCAAGGTTTTAACCAATGACAGTGTTTGCTTCTAGGATGTACTCTAAAAACTGCTCACTGTCTCGGCGATGGTTGGTTACAGGCCTTTATTAAATCGGAGCTGCTTAATCACATCAACTTCCAATTTTATTAATTTTGGTTGGGTTTTTTAATTTTATTTTATTTTTTAAACCACCAACAAACTCTATATTTCCCAACAGTGAAGCACTACAGGGGGCAACCGTGGCATTGCTTCCTTAACCAGCTCATGGTGTGTGAATGTTATAAAATTGTCACTCAGATATATTTTTTAAATGTAATGTTATATAAGATGATCATGTGATGTGTACAAAATATGGTGAAAAGTGCCAGTGGTAGTTACTGTGTAAAGTCTCTAATACTCAACATTAACTCCTTTAAAATAAAATACACAGCCTTCTGCCTCTGTATTTGGAGTTGTGAGTGCAACTCATCAAAGAAAACTGCCTAATATAAATCATATATATGGTAATAATTTTTCCTCTTTTGTAGTCTGCACAAGATCCATGAAAGATTGTATTTTTATTACTATTTAAACAGTGATTAAATTTAGCCTGAGCAGTGAGCAAGGGTTCACATGCATTCTTTTATACTGCTGGATTTTGTTGTGCATCATTTAAAACATTTTGTATGTTTCTTCTTATCTGTGTATACAGTATGTTCTTAAATAATGTTCAATTGTCAGGAGAACTGTGAGAAATAAACTATGTGGATACAGTCTGTTTATATATAGAATGCTTGCTGTGACTTCCTTTCTGTGTAGTTCCGACTTTTTAATCAAGATGGAAAACATTCAAAGGACATTTTAATACATCACCCAAACAGTCACTGTGCAGCCCTGCGAGATGCCCTCCTCTGCTGTTCATTTCCCTGGGAGCTGGTGGTGCTCTGCCCCTACTAACACCCACCTCGCCCTTGCAGAGTTAGCGTTCTAGTTTTACTCGTACCTTATGCACAGACTGTTCTTTATCAGACGTCAGAAACCCCAGATTTCAGTAGCCTTGGGACACTGTATGCCATTGTCTGAGAAGCTTTGTAATTATTGTGACATATTTTAGTTAATATATTTTCTATTGAACTGTATAGCTTGTGATTCAGAAACACTCGCTGATTTTATAACTGTAAGAAACTTTCAGTTGCTTTGAAACTTGAATACTCAAGAGTAATGAGCTAGAGAAGAAACTAATTTGACTTAAAGAGATGGCAATAAGAAGGATAATCGGCTGGCTGCATCTAAAAACTTTAAATACAAATTGATTAGAATGAAGTTTTGCAATACCTTTAGGTGTAGTTATTTTTTGCTTTAAAAGATAATTCAAAGCATTTAATCTGTTCAGAAGGTAATACAGTACAGTTGCTAAGACACTGAGCAGGTATCATATGTAAACATATCTCACGTATCTTAATATACTTAGATGAATTTAATAAACCTTAAAAAATACTACACAAAAATTCACAGGACGTATTTTAGTTTTCTATCGGAAAAGATGCTGCCCTGAGAGGCTCTCTAATGACTAAAGCATGTGCATTCCACACCGTTTGTGCTGTTCACAGAAAGCTAAGGTTGGGGAAGGCGTTTTATCAGGGAGAGGTTCTGTGGTAATGCTTGCTTTCTGTTGGTACCATGAAAAAAATGGTTGGATGAGAATAACAGAAGTACATTAGTGAAAATGTTCAGTCATCAATGTAGGATGGCTTAGGAAGCACAACAAGCCATGGTGTAATTCGAATGAGTTTGTAAGCAGGAGGATTTCAAGTCTGAATCACCCAAGCAAGAAGTGTCTTGGATAAGTCCTCTTTTTATTAACTATGTATAAATATTTGTATTTCCATATGCATGCATATACAGCTGTTTCTGTTGCATACATAATGAACATACGCAAATAGATACCTAATGCACATACACCCAGTCAAGCACGGGAGGTTTTGGTTTTTTCCATTGAAAAGACCAGAAGAAGCAGAAAGAAAAATTAAAACTGAAACTGTATGTTTTGTAACTTGATTTAAAAGAAAAAGAGGATTAGCAGCTGATGTCTCCTATGTTCCCATCCCACACAAGTACAGTACTCCACACTTTTTAATGTATATTGTAATTACAAGTAATAAAAGATACTGCAGAGCACCTACACAGATGAATTTGCAACTTCATGGTAACTTCAGAGTATTTTCCTGCTTTTTGAGGCAGAGAATTTTACTTTATTTTTTTGGAAAAACTACTACAACCCTGCAGCACACAGCTGGTGGTGCTTCCAGGCTCGGTTTAGAAACACCAGCCTTCTTCAGCTGACGCATTCTCAAAGTCTCTTCATTAAAGCTGTTGTACTGCAGGCATTACTGGTCACTTGATGGCACTGGTTGAGCTGGAGAAGCACTTCTAGAGCATCAGTGGTAAAACATAGGCTATAAAAGGACCCAGGAAAAAAGGAACATCCAGGATATGAAGGATAAGGACGTACCTAAACCAGTCCCTTACAAATAATTGAATTAGCATTTACATGGCAAATGCCAAGGAAGAGAAAGGAACCAGAAGAATGTGCCCTGAATGGAAAAAGGACATACTCTGTAAGCATGCCAATTTGAGCGCTATTTTCAAGTCCTGTACTGTGCTTTGAAAAGGATTAAATCCACGTATACTGTAACAGAAATCATTACTCCTCCTTTTTGTACGTTTTATTTGCATTATGTTTTCATTACAAGAAAGGTAACTTCAAAAATACAAATCTGCCGCATAAAGTACAACATTGACAGTAAGAGCAGTCATGCAGCCCACTTCAGCTGTGAGTTCGTCCAGTAGATCCAGTACGAGGATGCAGTTACTTCACAGGAATGTTGAACAAGCTTTTATTTAGCTATCAGTATACCAAAGAAACCACAATACTTTGGTTAACTGAACAGAAATACGATGTGACTATTACAGACTTCTTTGCAAATATTACAGATAAATGGCTTACTAAAGGTACAAGCAAAATGAACCCAATCACCCATAATGGTTTCCTATTTTGTTATCTTTTTATTCCCCCCCCCTCCCCCCAGGTTTTGGCAATGCCAGTACAAGACAACATGATCTGAGTTTTGCAATTGAAATAGTTCCCATGTAGGATTTAAAGAAATCTTCATACATTCTTTCTCATAGTCAACTTTATACGTAGACTTAATACAGTAAAACTGCTGTTGATATGGGCAGTTACCAGATTGCACATTTAACTACACAATACAATCATCATTTTCACCTCAGCTCACAAAACCGGGAAGTTGTCATTTATAATATCTTACAATTCTCAGCACAAGACAAGTTGTCCCAGAAACGGTGTCTGCTCCATAGTAATGGATTGACAGGCTTCCATGGTATTTAATAGTGTCTTCACCTTCAGTTAATTTTTCTGCTTCTTGTTGCAATACAGTGTTCTGGGGACATGGGAAAAGTTTATTTTAACCTCTAGCTTGACTGATTCCAGCTGTCTCACAGCTGCATGTAACATAGAACAGGTTTTGGTCTCTGAAGCCCAAGAATGAGCCAAGTGACACCATTAAAATTAATACTGCTAATTAAAGTAGTAACCAATGGGAAACTTGTATGCAGCAACGTTAATACGCTAAATGGCAAGTGAGGTGATTGAGGAGCTCGCTGCCTGCCAGGCACTGTCTGATTTCCAATCAAACGAATGCGATACCAACCAGAGCTGCTGTTCATGCTGCTTTAAACTCGTGAAGAGCAAACAGCCAATGAAACAAGGTGGTTCTTAGAGTTAGCACACAAACCACTCCATTGAGTGTGCTGTCGGAACAGAGGAAAAAAGATTTCACCTAAAAGAACATACCACATGCACGAATCCAGCTTGAGAAAGCAGTATTGCTTTGAACAGCATTTTAGTCATGACTGTCAAGTGCCCGTGAGTGAGGCTGCGAACACAGTTACTGCGTTTCTGCAGGATAACAAAATGCTGCCTCTTGCTTGTTGAGAAAAGAGTCAATGGTCTTGCGGATGTCCAGAAAAACCTCCTCTTGTGTTCTTTCTGCATCAACCTGTGGAGCAGGCAAAATACATCAGTTTTGATTAAGATACAAAGAATTATCTCAGATTCTAAACACTGGCACCAAAAAATGTTCCAATATAAAATAAAGGTGGTTGTGTTTCATGTTATAAGCATTCCAATGCAGAGAAGCAGCTTCCATAAACCCAGTTATTCACTGTTTCCACAGATTTATGTGAGAAGTTTCTGTAGGCTCCATCGCCTGGAGCAAAGTTCATGAATCAAATGAGGGAGCTTAAGCTCGTTCTCCTTAGCACTCATGTTTTAAAGTGAAATTACACCTCTGATAAAAAGAACAGTTTCAAAAGATACTTAGAAACTATTTGAACATTTAATACCCTCTGAAAGAAAACTAATAGAGTAACTTTGGTATCATACCATTAATAACATGAATAGTATTGACTATTGCAGGAGACTAAGAGGAGTTTCTAACTCCAAGAAATATGTTTCTGAAATAGGCCGTGCAGTTCCTCTAGACACGGTGTTGGCTTGCAGCCTGTACAGTCTGACTGCACTCCATGTACATTTAAGTCCCACAGTGCCAAGTCTTGTGTGGGAGTCAGCAGCTGCTCCTTGCAGAGATCCAGCAAGGGATTGCATTCACACTCCATAGCTTGGTTTCGCTCTTGGTGGCATCCGCAGATGCTGTGAGGTTTGGTCCCTTGTTGCATCCTGTTGGAAGTGTTGGCACATCCAGGCAGCCTGCCTCCACACGCAGCAGTTCCAGCACTGGGAATGGCCAGCCTGGCTGGCCTTTAAGGAGCTTGCCCAACTGGGTCCAGACCTGCTGGACTCACTGCAGGGGTATCCTACAGCCTGAGCTCAGCTGCCCTCTCCTGCCTGGCAAGCTTTCAGTGGCTTCTCTGGCTTCTCTTGCTCTCTGTCACATGCGTGCTTGCTGCTTTAGGTAAAGGTGAAGTACGCCTGTGCTGGAATAGTTTGTGAAGCAGGTGGTGCCTTAGAAAGGTCAGTTCTCAAACAAGGGCTGCACATCTCTCAGAAGCTTTCTGGGCCACGGAAACGAGGGGTTCAGGAGAGGGTTACTTATGAGTAGCAAAGAGAAAAGAGGAATGGTGAGCCATTCTGGACCAAATGTCCACCTTCTCCAGTTACAATAAAACTAGCAACTCCCATCTCTGCTGCCATAAACCAGCTTGTTTTTCCTGTCTCAACTGCAAAGACACCTTTTTTCATATTGCTGTCCCACAGGAAATATACTACACACAGGGCGAAGGCCATAGCCATTTCAAAGCTCTCTTGTCTTAATATGTATTTTTATTATCTCTTTATGCCATAAATACATGTGCACTGATCTGACCTCCTCAGAACAGCTGATTGCTGCTGGCTTTTCGGTGACCTCACCCAGAGCTGGGTCTGATACTCGGGTCTAGGTCTAGGCAGTTCTGATGAAGAACTGGGTTTGTAAGAGTGGAAATTGCCACCCTTTATGGCTGGCTGGAACACTGACTTCCAAACTGCCACGGTAAAATACGGGTAAGTGTGACAGCACCAGTGCTTCTCATGCTGGCCTCCTAAATAACAAAGGTCCAATTCATAAAACTAACTTAAAGTCATGGCACAAAACTAACTTAATGTGACAATAATTCACAGCCAGTGCCACAGTAATTCAATGGTGCTCTCTGCAGCTCCAGGAGAAAACAACTGTATTTCTCATTCTCAGATTACAGCAAATTTCATAAATTAGAACTGTTTTCAAGGTTATTCAAGGCTACTCTTGCCTCATAAAAGCAAGATCCAGATACAGTTTTCCATAGTGCTTCTGCTTTTTTGCCACTTGTGGCTTCAGGTAACTTCAAACACAGAGAAATTTAATGAGCTCATGTGGAAAATGACTGGACTAATCATCTCCAGAGTGCAATGTTGCTCCTTCTGGCATCAAATCAGCCAATTAACTTTTCAGTCATTAAATCTCCATTTGTTGTAGGTTTTGGGATTGAGAACCCTAAATGCATACTGCCAATGAGGAAAACCTGAGTGTCTGTAGAGGATGGCTGAGGACCACTGCGTTCAGACACACTGAGATTCTGGGATAAATTCAGATCAAGTTCAGCTGTGTTGTCACTAACGTTTATACCTTTGCCGCTAAAAGGGTGTTAAAAACCTCTTTGAGACTGTCCTGGTTCTTGGAGCAATGGAGCAAGCTGTCTGGAAACCCAGTGGAAACTGCCTGATACCTATTTGCGTGAATTTACTGCTGTTTTATCTCTAATCCCCTGCTAATGTTTCTGATGTATCTTTCTACATCTTATGGGTCACAAGCCACCAAGGGGGTGTGACACAGAAACACTTGTTCCTTTGTTCCACACCTACTTCCCTACCAGGGTTAATGATTCTCTGACAACCTTTCAAAAGACAGCAGTAAATTACATACCTGCTATCACCAGTACCATTGATTCTCCCTCCTCTAAATGGAAAATTACACATTTGCCCCTCCCCTGAGACATTTCTAACAGGGGATCAGTATGAGAAGGCTCAGAAGTGGAAGATGGTGGGAGGGTGGATGGTCTCTTATTCTTTCATAGCAGTATGGACAATAACTGCTGCTTACCCAGCATGTGAGTTCAACTGATTTTAGAAAGAAACAGTAGAACACCACTGGAATAAGAAGAAATAAAGAAACACGCATTTTGGTTGAGCTTCATAGGCTAATCATGTGATCTGACACAGAGGTTTCTCGACATCCCTGAAATCCTCTGCTCTGGACTGCCTTACTTATTTATTATAGAATCATAGAACAGTTAGGGTTGGAAAGGACCTTAAGATCATCAAGTTCCAATCCCCCTGCCATGGGCAGGGACACCTCGCTCTAAACCATATCACCCAAGGCCTTGTCCAACCTAGCCTTGAACACTGCCAGGGATGAAGCATTCACAACCTCCCTGGACAACCTATTTCAGTGCCTCACCACCCTAACAGGAAAGAACTTCCTCCTTATATCCAATCTAAACTTCCCCTGTTTGTTTTAACCCATTACCCCTTGTCCTACCACTACAGTCCTAATGAAGAATCCATCCCCAGCATCCCTATAAGCCCCCTTCAGATACTGGAAGGCTGCTATGAGGTCTCCACACAGCCTTCTCTTCTCCAGGCTGAACAGCCCCAACTTTCTCAGCCTATCTTCATATGGGAGGTGCTCCAGTGCCCTGATCATTCTCGTGGCCCTCCTCTGGACTTGTTCCAACAGATCCATGTCCTTTTTATGTTGAGGACACCAGAACTGTACACAATACTCCAAGTGAGGTCTCATGAGAGCAGAATAAAGGGGCAGGATCACCTCCTTCGACCTGCTGGTCACGCTCCTTTTGATGCAGCCCAGGATACGGTTGGCTTTCTGGGCTGCAAGTGCACACTGAAGCTGGCTCATGTTCATTTTCTCATCGACCAGCACACCCAAGTCCTTCTCCACAGGGCTGCTCTGAATCTCTTCTCTGCCCAGCCTGTAGCTGTGTCTCTTGCCCTTATTCTCAAATTACCTTGAATAAGGAACCTGTATTTAAGACACCTACTGGGTATCTTACTTTAGCTAGGTAGGATCAGTTTTGTCTTGCTTGACTACCAATGCATTGTTCTCCATTACTTGTTACCCTCCTACATGCTGTCATTTGAAGAAATCTTTAAAGGATGAGTCAGATATTAGAAACAATCTGGGTTTTTTTTCTCTCTTTCTTCTCAATTGACAGAGGGACACATATTCTAGGGTATTTACATTTAGCCATGTTAAAAGACAAGTAGGTGCCTGCTAAATTTTAAGATGCATTTTCTGGTGCAGCTGTCGTGAAAATCACCGAGAAATAGATTTTAAACCCTTAGTATCTACCTGCTTACTGCAGCTACCTTGGTGCTTTTTGTTTCATTTGATTTCATTCATCTGGAACATCTGATTCCCACAGAATCAGGCAGCTTGGAGCTGTTGTTTCTGTGATTAGTGGCTTAGTCCCTGCATGGGACTAAGTCCCAGTGCAAGGTCTCTGTTAAAAAGCACCCCCTTGGTGTCCCTAGGGGCAGGTGGGTGTTCTGTAATGATGAAAGAAATAATGGAATATTAAACTATATCCTGAAACTATGAGTTTTAAAAATTTAATTGGAAAATTTATAACTTATTGTTACAACTACTTTACCTTCCAGAACACAAGAAACTTACTGCCTTAGCAGAAAAGTGAGCAGAGGACACTGCCATTCATCAGCCAGTTTATCTTCCCTTGTAAATACATACCCAGGAGTTCCATCACTGTTCTTCATCTCAGCTGGGGCACTGAAAGAATGACCATTGTTTATTCCTGTCAGGTTCACAGGTGTTTCACCTGCACCTTCCATGCTTCCACTGCTGAGCAAAAGCACTGACAGGTAATCTTGGTCATAGGGGAACTTGTTAAAAACGAGTCCTGATCTTTTGGCAGCTTTGTCAGGTCACTGTTCTTGTTCAAAGGTCAATGGAATGGAAAAACATTCCATTTCCAAACATCATATTAGTTATTTAGGAACGCATGGATGCACAATAATCTAGGTTTAGAGAAGGTCACAAAATTCTCATTGATCAAAATGGGCAAGCTGTTACAACCATATACGTTTGTCTCTTCTGTGCAAGTAAAGCAAAGAGAATTCCTACTGACTGCAGAGGAAGCTAAGTCGGACTTGAGTTTTTCTGGCCCTGCTGTGCTCTTTAGGCTCCTTCCATCCATGCTGTAACTCCCATTTAAATGCAGAGAATAAGCAACCTAATGTGACAATGTAGTCTAAAGCACACCTTGATATGTTGTGACAGCTCCGATCCTCCTCCCCTGAGTCCTCACCTAACAGCTAATTCTCACAGCAGACTTTTGCTGGCCTTATTTCCAGGACTGAATTTTACATTTGCATATTCAATCTGCCTGTTTCAGGACTGAAAGCTTTTAGGCTGAATGGGACGAGTTGAACATGTACCACCATTAGCATGTGCTGTTCCCGATCTGTGGAAAACTTTGCCCAGCCCTAAATACACTTAAAATGGAGAAATCAAATAATACCAACATGCCAACCCTATTTTCTTGTTAAACGAGTCTATTTAACAAACCTGATTTTCTTACCTGTGGCAAGGCAGGGACTGTGTGCTGCAGCGAAGCTCTACAAGACATGATCACTTACAAAATTTCACCTACAATTATTGAAGGTGCTTAGTCACACACTGTGCGCTGGCATACATAAGTTGGCTAGAAAAGGTTAATACTGAATCTTCACGGCAGTTAAGTGGTGTTTAACATTCCTCTTAAAATCTCAGCATTCTCTGAATGATGAAGTATATGGCTGGAATCTCAAGGGACATAAAGCTCACAGGGGCCTTCCACTGAAGAGCTGTTACTGTTAAAAAAACCAAGCCTGGGCAGGAGTAACTTTCCAGAAGAAGGCAACTAAAGATTCTTTTAGACCCTTCTCTCTTCCTTTCTTAAACAGATTCTCTTCAGATGCTTTTGGCCATTGCAGACTGATCTGGATCTACACACAGCACCTTCAGGTAAGACATCACTTCCCTGAAACCTTTCATCAGCATTGCCTGAGAAAAAGCATGCACAAGCCTCTGGTCCATAGTTACATGAAGGTCCATGGGTTATTTTAAAAACATCCATTAGTGTAGATGAGAACTTATTTTAAGAGGTCTTTAAATCAACATTTGTAAATCAACTTCTGTGGCGTTGCCTGGAACGGATTAAGAAACACATAAACAGTTCTTTCGGTGAGCAGATTTATAGAGGCAGCAGCATCTTTATGGCACCATTCGCATCTTCATCCAGTGTTGGTCAATGCTGGAGTAATAAAACCCACTTAGGTGTGAAAAGATTCCCAAAGCTCAAAACATGTTCTAATTAAAATCAGAACGAAAAATACTAAACACGTCAGGTTTGCTTCTGCTCAGGCACCAGGCTGCAGGCTGCAGCACCCAAGGCTGGCTGAGGGTGACAAGGACAGCTTTGGGAGGCTTAATTTTAAAAGCCTGCCTCTGCTGAGTATTTTGTCACTGTTCTCTAAACGCTGATAAATGACTGAACATGTACTTGTCTGCTTCATAAGGGTTTTGGGGAGGGGACACATCTCTTTACTTAAATCCGTAATGGAATCCCATCTTTGATATCAAGTGTGTATTTTATCAGTTTCTTAAAAAGCAGATGAGGTAGACACTGCAATACAGAGTACCCGTGTTCAAGAAAAACGGAACATGTTTTTGAACCTTTAAAGGATATTTTACATGATAATGTTTATAAAGCAGATTTTACAGAGCTTTCATACCCAATAGCTCCATCCAGAAAATGGAAGCACGTTGAACACCGATATTCATCAGAAGCAAGTACAATACAGACATTGTGAGAAAAACAGTGTAACCCTTGTTCAAGCAATGCACGAGTTATTTCCTAACATGCAAACACACGATGCTAGTTCCCAAGAACACTAATGGTAAAGAGTACGAAGCACATATCCAGTTCTGACTCCTGGACTAGGCAAGTCCCTTAAGGAGCTAATGAGCTATAAGCTTCCAAGAAAAGACTGCATGTTTTAAATTGCATAGGAGATGGAGCAGAAACTTGCATCTGGAGTATTAAGGAAGGATAAAGAGAGTCCAGGTCAAGTGAAATAAGGCAGACTATAAATGCAAAATCCATGTGGAAGTATTTAGTGCAGTTTCATTCTCTCTCTGGGGCTGTCACTTCCTTGATGCTTCAAAAAGGGAAACGCTGTGGTAGGCACAGCTCACTGAAGTAAGAGATAGAGAGAGCTCCGTTTTCCTTTGCATTGCACTGTGTTGGCGTATTGGGTATTGTACTGAATTCTTAATTAGACACCTCCTTGCAATGTTGGCAAGGAACCTCATCAAAGAAAATACGAATAAAACCAAATAATGGTTCTTCAGCTTAAAAAAAGAAAAGCAATTGGGGAATTTTTTTTTCTGCTACTCTAGTGCTTGCCTTCAGTGTACGTATTGTGGGGTTAGCAAAGAACACAAATCAGGCCTCTTCCTTTGAGTATCATTTTCCTGAGGACTACATCATTCACTCTGCTCTCAGGTCAGGATATTGGTGCATAAATTAGCTGAATGTTTCTCTTTTGGGAACTTTGTAGAGGAGAAAGGTTTGGGATCTGTGATTTGCATATTTGCTACCACCTCTAGAAAAAAGCTCCCATAACATTTCCAGAAACTATTATTGAATTCTTTCCCTTTTAGGACAAGAAGGATCAGCAGGACTAGATCTTTCTGTAGCTAAACATAAGGGAGAGTTTGCCAGGAGAGAGCAGAAAAAATTATATAAACCCTATAAACTTCCCATGTAAATGAGTTCACAGATGTGCCAGCATATACATCAGGTAATTGCACTGATGGAATATTTCTCTCTAAAGTTTTGATTAGAGGATAAAAAGAAAGCTTTAAATATCACATCCTGAGCAGGTGTAAACTGAGGTCATTCACGGAAATTAATATAACTGTATCATTTAAAATATCAGCAGAAAAATCTTTCTTGTGTTCAGGTCTGTTTTATTTCGGGATATACACTGTCAGTTTTGTAAATCTAACTGAAGGGCTTTGGATTAACATAAACTTTCATCTTAATTCCGAAGGCTCCTATAAAGACATAACCCTGATACTTAAAGAAAAGCTTTCCATCATTAATGTTTAATAAGAGATTCTATGCAGGTGAGGTAGTGATTCAGGATATGTTCTCAGATGCAGGATAAATCTATGGTTTTATTCTTTCAAGTTCTACTGTGGAACCCAGAAGTTTGTAGAAGTTGTAAACAAACCAGGGGAGCATAAGGTGAGAACAAACTAGAAAGTGCAGAAACGAATACAGTTCATCAATGGTGTTGTGACAGTATTTTCCAACTATTGCTTATATGATGGAAGTAAAAAGCAATAATTTAACTTAAAAAGTCAAGCAGTTTACCTTGTATAACTGTGTCTTCCTTTCATAGTATGCAATCATAGGTTTTGATGCTTGGTAATAGCTTTCAATTCCTTCCTTGATGGTTTCAGCATTATCAGTGGGCTGACTGCTCTGATTTCTCAGCAGAAGGCGACTGCTCATTGTTTCTGGGGAGCAGTCCAGGCAGAACACAAGTTTTGGTTCCCCAATCTAGAGACAAAGAAAAACATCAAGTTTTCAAACCACTGGCTTGGTAAAACTGGCTTTGTCTCGATAATTTTAAAACAAAATGCTACTGAAAAGGTCATCTGAATTTGCCTATGCAGAAGTTATGCTTATTTACAAACAACTCTTTTTGTAGCAGCACTTAGCAGCATTCAAGATGAAGGCTGTATCTGATGGTGCTCTACATACACAGAGAAAAAGTGATAAGATCTGAAAAATGCTGGCTACTACGACTGCAGGATGAGTCTAAAGGGATAAACTCCACTCTATCAAGTAAAATAAATGTGTTACAGAATCAGAGAAAAGCAATGTGGTAATTTTTCTATGCAGTTATGTATTAAATCCTTCAGTGATGCTTTCAGGCTTTTTATCATTCCTTCCCTTTTTAGCAGGGATTTAGAGAACACCCTTTAGGAAAGAATGAGAAGTTCTTGAGAAAAGACAACTGCTCTTCACACTAGTGATCATCAGAAATTCATGTTTTTACAATGGCTACAGCAAAGAAAGTCTAAATGACTGATATATTGGAATTGTCATTGCTAGAACTGTTGAAAGCCCTTAAGGGAAGAAATATTCTAAAGGTAAATATTCCATGCTAGGCCTTCTGCATTTGAGGATGTCTGGATTATGTTGACCTTTCCACCACCTTAATGACTTTCTAGGAGACAGCTGAAGCCAAGGGATTATGTTGCATAGTTCAATGACAGGCTTTTATTCATCCATTTTTTCCACACAGCTCAGAAAACATAAATGCCATTAGTAGCAGCAGTATTGGGTGTAGGGATTAAAAAAGCCAACAAGGCAGTTTTAAACAGTGCAAAAGACTTAGATCGAGAAGTTAAGATGTGGGCTCATACAGTGATTCAAACAAATGTCCTTTTTGTATAACTGGGCTGGGATGGTGTGAAGTTTTTTTCCTCCCAGCTCCACATGAGGAACTCCGTGGTCTGTTCTAAATTATAATAGAATAAATGCGAAATGATTCCTTTAATCAGTTACAGTCATATCATCACCTCACAATGAGGATATAAAGGAGTCCACAGAGCAGACAGCAGTATCTTGTTTGATAGACCAGGTCTTATTTGCTTTTGAAAAATCTGTATGCTTCTCTTAAAAGTTTCAATGTTGCTGTTCTCTGGAATTCAAAATGTTACAGAAATGTCATTCTGCCAAGTTAAAAAATTGCAAAAGTAAAAGTCATCAGATATTACAGCAATTTGTATGACTGGATTTTTTTAAAGTTACCGTTTTCCTGGTACAATTTAGCTTAAATAATGCGTGTTGTGGGAACATCTGCAGGAAGCCAAACAAGTCTAACGTATTGGGTCTTTATTCTTACTGGGTATCTTCTCCCTGCTGATGTGGAACTTATAATTTAATTTTTTTTTTTTTACTTCCCACTTAGCAGAAAGACTGAGGAGGGAACAGAGATGTGCTTCTCTAGAATTATGGCTAGGTAAAAGTACAGTTATATCACAGAAAGGAATTGAGCAAAACTGGCTGGAGACTGAGCTTACACAGACTTACTGAGAAGCTTGTGCTTGTATTTTACTCCAAATGTCAAAGGCAGCGCCCAGGGCTCTGCAGTGCTCTGCAGTGTCTACAGGAGCTGAAAGGATTTTGCTCTGGATTCATCAAGACTTGTTTGCTTGGCAATGCCTCAGTCCCAGACACTCCAATCTCTTAAATACTGCTTTATAGCATACACCAGTGTTCACAGGACGTGACGTGTATGCCTGCCAGAAAAGTAGTACTGCTGAAATAGTCCCTCCTTCTACACAAAATGAAAAAAATCTCCAATGTCTTTCTAATAGTGCATCACATTTTAGTAAAGGAACTAATAGATTGGCAATTCTGTGAATGGTGTCTATAACAAATTCTATCATGCATTATTTCATGCAGCTTCTGATGCCTATGTCTTGCTAGGGTTTTGTGGTAATCAATTAACCAAAGCAGCTAAAGGTTCAGGGAGAAACCAGATGATTCATGAAAGTTTTATTACCCTTTAAACTTGAATGGGAAGTTTGTGGAGTGTAATCTGAATATATACTTAACTATTTCCTCTAGCTAACCAATAGTTTTCTCCTAAACCCTGGCAAATTCATTCATAGGGTTTTACAGGGCATTTTCTGCAGATAGAGAAATGTACAGCTGAGACTTCTCAGTAGGTCTTAGCACATACTGAGGAAATCGATAACTCTCTGAACTGCTATGCAGTCACTTGCAAAACGCTCTTTTTATGGCTATGCCACCTCTTACTCATCACAAAAATACAATCTGTATTTGCTGTTTCACCGTGGTAGCACGCTGTAAAAGAACTGGCTCAATGGTAATAGATACTGACTGAAGTTATGTGCTTTCATGAACCTACCTCAAATAGTGCTCGATGAGATTTTCACAATAAGTACAGCAGCCATCCACTAGAATTATACAAATTATTCTAAAAATGGTGCTTTCCACTAAATGTGAATTGTTCCTGGTTCATATTAAATTTGTGTAAAATCAGCTTTTACTTCTGCTGGTATTAGAGAGTCTGTGTAGGTGAGGGCAAAAGCTGGAGTTACTATATTGATGGGGTGCCCAAGTTTCAGTGATCAACAGCACAATGCTGTTGGTTTGGCTATTTACATGTACCCATTGCAATCAGCTAAAGATGGGGACCCAAGCAGCATCAGAAGTACAGCTGTATCTTAATAGAAGTTATAACAGCATTACAATCATATGATTACCTTGCTCTCAAACTCTTCTGCTTCTTTCAGCTCTTGGGGATACCCATCAATCAGAAAACCTTTTGTGTCCCCTAACTTGGAAATCATGGCTTCCTTCAGTAGCTTTAGGACAATACCCTGCATTGAAAAGAAAGGGAGCAACTTAGTTAATAATAAGAAAGATTGACACATTGTTTGTTACACCAACTTTAGTCCTAGGCCCTTGAGAACTGCCTTGTTTTGCCAAGAGCAGGTCCTGTAAATGCAGGTGTTTTTCTTGTCCTGCAGGCAGCAGGGCATCCGTTTTTAATTATCTCAGGTCCAGCTGTGCTACATAGGTCTAGTGCTGCAAACCATCCAAGAGTTCCCAAAGTGTCCTCTAGATAGCTGGGAATATTTCACAGATTCAAAATTAGTACCTGTGAAACTCTGGAGTACTGGTGCAGCATTTTCCAATCTGGTTGCATTTGCTACGTCATTGATATAATTACACTACATGGAAAGTGATAAGAGACCCCATCTAACCAAGCACACTGAAGAGCAAAGCAATCAAAATCAAGACTCGGCACAGCTTTTAGTTTCCCCCAAGCAGCACCTCCCAGTATCTTTCATTAACAAACACGTTCTACGATCAAACTGCACTTGCTGAAGACCCACCAAGAGTTAGGGCTGTGGACCTGCCATGTAAAAGTCAAGTCCAGCTGGGAACAACGGACTCTGTCTTCATAGTGACCATTAAACTGCAGTCCCGCTGCTCTGGGATGTCAGCCAGCTCTGCAGGGAACTGCTGCAGGTATTGTAAATTAGAATAGCTGCCAGGAGGACCAGCTCCGAATCTGAAATGGGAAGCTACAAAATTGGCATCAAGTTTCTGTTTCCTGTACTTATTCTCACATTTTGCAATGCATAGTGCAGCATATGTCTCACTGTATTTCATGACTAATTTGTTGCCTGTGTCTCAAATGCAAAGAAATACTGGCAGAGAAAGGAGAAAGAAGTGCCACAGACCTGACAATGAGGAAACTTCTCTCTCAAGATGCAGGTTAATTTTACTTAAATCATCAGCTCTAGTCTCTCATTTCCACCCTTTTAGACAATCTACTACCACTGCCTTTGTTTAACCATTAGGACCCCAAATAAAACTGTTGCTTACTCCAGGCACAGGTTCACCACATTCCATGATGTATTTGATCAGTTTACTTCTCTCTGATAATGATGATAACTCATTTTGGAGAAGGTCACCAGTGGACAGGTGAGTAAATCCATATTTCTTGGCTAACTGTTCGCACTGGCTACCCTTGCCAGAGCCAGGCCCGCCTTTGTGAGGGAAAAAATACATAGAATTAGAAAATATTTCTAACTTCTCAAACTATAGCAACCAAGAAAACGGGGGGAAATTGATGAGACTGTCTATTTCACAATTCATTTTTTTTTTAAAGACACTCTATACAGCAGAACAAGTGAGATACTTCCCTTCTGCTGGCTCAAAATGTGCACTGAAGTTGAACGAGTTAACAACAGTGTGAAATCTCTTGCAGAAAAGAACATGTTCCTAAAACACCATTACCATGTAAAGGGACAACATAAACCAGACTGCCGGTGGGTAAAGATATTTAACTATATGTTCAGCTTGACAGCTGCAACAAATATTAGCAAGCTAACATCCACCGCATCCTTGGGAGAGAAATATTTTGCCCCTATTTGTGGAATGGGAAGGTATAGGTAAAGAGATGGCGAAACCTGCCTCTGTTATGTGGGATACTGCACACGTAGATGTACATTAACTAAACCCTTTTGCATTATAGTGAACGTAAAATTTCACAGTGATTTGGCTCTTCCCTTGGAAAGCTTTCCCATCCTGGCATGTCTGCAGGTAACTGAGAGCCAGGTACTGAAGCTGCTCAATGCTGACGAAGGCTCAGTCATGCCCTCCCTGCAGCTGCAGTACTGGCTTGCTCTTCGAGCATGCTGCAGGGAAGTGCAAGAATAAAGCACCTGGCAACAAAGGGCACATGGAGACCTTGTTACCACCTGCTTGTCTACAACCACAGCTATAAAAAACAGCTGAAAACCACCTCTGAGCCAAGCCTGGAGCCAGACACGAGGAGGGGTGCAGGGAGTTTCAGCTCAGGTGAAGTTGCTCAAGTGATTTTTCCACAGGCTGAAGGGAAGGTGTCTGCAGCCAGCCCTGCCCCTAACCACTGGGTGTGTGGGCAGAGCAGAGCAGGGGCTCAGGTGAAATGCTGCAAGGGTTGTCAGAAATGGCACCTGAACCCTCCCTCCTCCGTTTGACAGGAGAGAATCACCTCAAGAGACCCAAAACTGCCCTTTTTCTGGGGCTGTCTCAGAGACTTCCACTTTGCTCTGCAGGTGCTGCCATTGTCCTGTCCCACCTGCTCAATGGAGGTGCCTGATTTTCCTTCCTCATCCTGAAGGGCAACCATGTGGAACACCAAATGCCTATTCAGCTGCCTGCTGAGTGGCAGCTGCCAACCTGGCTGGAAAAACTGGCTGACCATGGGAATGGCTGGAAGCTACTTCTTGGGGATGGTGTCGCTGTGATCTCCAGAGCCGCTGGTGGAGCTGAGGTGAACACACCGTGAGGGCTGAACTGGGTGGGGAGCTGAGGCGCCATGTTGTTGCTGCGGGTGAAGGAGACCAAGAAAGCAGTTTCCTTTGTGACAATATCAGGATTTGCGGAGACATTTCAAGGTATGTAGCAGTGTTTTTACAGTCTTTGATGGATCTTTCCAGATCTACTGCAGTAGGTGGTACTTATACCCTTGTAGGGAGACAGTGCTCTGAAGTAGAGACAAGGCCAAGAAAACAATCTATTTCAATCATGCCTTTAAGGAGGTGACTTCTATTTATCAACTGTTTAGACTTGCAAATATGACTAGACTCTATTATGTGGATGTATGATGCTAGAAAACATGTGATTTTCCTTTTTGTTTATTTTCCCATGAGAAATATAGGAATAACATTCATAATAGAGTGAATTTGGCAGCATCTCCTCCTGACTCGAGCTTTCTTCTGATTTTTGCATTCAATTTAAGAAATAATTTCTCTGAGCATATAATTTTCAGAGAAGTTACAATACTGTAGCTGAGAATAAAAACTGGGCCATAAGGAGGTAGCATCAAAAGAACATTTTTGGTATACTATAGCTTGGAGTCTTTTACTTCAGCTTCACAAAGGCAATTATCAGCCCATGGTGTGAGAATCACACTCGTGCTACAATTTTAGCTGGAAATATATTTGTCATAGCCTCATTTTCTTGCCAATGTGGGTTGCATGTTGTTTTTCTGTTGCTTTAATAATATGAAAGTTTTTCTTTTGTAAAAGCACTGACTGAAAGAAAACAAGGAATAAATAAGCATGGCTACAGAGAAATAGATGCAGGGAAATTATAGACAAATAACCTGTAACGTGTAGTCATAATTTCATTTCTAGTCTGTTTTGGTTTCTTACATTAGTGCTTGTTTGCACATTGTCTCCTGGTCTTGAATACATTAGCATTGCAGTAATTGCATCCTATTTATTTGGTGTATATACACAGTACTAAAGAAAAAAACCCCAGCTATAAAGGTTACTTTATTCTGTTTCTTATGTAACTGTTTCTCTTCTGAATGTGGAGCCAAACAGAAATTTCACGTCTCTTTGTGTACTAAATAGACTAGATCTTGTTTTAGATATAACAATGAAAGAACAATATTGTGTTGATTAAGAGGTAAATATTGAGGTAAATATTGATGCATTTCTATAATAACCTTTATCTGTTAGTATCTTAAAAGAGAATGCTGTGAGATTAACATACGTACAGGGTATATGTATGGCGTACACCATAATGAGAATTACTGTGCCCCCAAAACATTAATTAAAATTGACCATGTTTACTTCTTTTACAGAAGAGTTTCAACAAAGATGAGATTAAAATGCTGAGCTCCTTAAAGACAAAAAGACATAATTAAATTACATTTATGTGCTGAAAATGGTAATTTTTATGGCCACTGCTATTAATTTAGTGCCATTTGATGAGTAGCAAAGCATCCTACTGCTTGACAAATGTGTACGACCCACTTTACAAAATCTTGGTCTTTCGGATCAGTGAATGAGATGACAGTTCTTGCTTGGCCTGATATAAGAAAAGGCTGAATGCCCCCAGGAAATTCAGCATTGAGGGCCAAACACATACTCAGTGTTTACACCAAAACTAACTTACATGCCAGAAGTTAAAGTATTAATTAATGTCTTGTCTCCTTCTGAAGCCTATTATTTAATGTGACTGAAAAAGAGCTATTTAGGTGGGAAAGAACGTGAAAGTGCATTTTTTTTGGTACGGATTAGATAATTCCTTCCTGCTCAAAGTATGTACTTAGAGGGCTGCTACAAACCCAGCTTTAATAGCAAAATAGCCATGCAGTCATGAGGGTTAATATCAGTTTGTAGTGTTGCAAAACCTGTATTATGCTCTTTTAGAGGGTCTCCTTATTAACTCTATGTATTTTTCTAAAAAGAATAAGAAAAAATAATAATTTACTTGAATAAAGTTTATAAGGAACAACAGCTGCATAGAAGATATAACAAAAGCTAGCACAAAGATATTTTCAGTTAAAAAGGCCTCAGTGTAACTTGTTATGCTGTTTTTCAAACATAAAAAAACTTGAGGCATTGAAAAAGGTAGTGATGTTTCCCAGTGGCTCAATTGTTAGGAGGAGGAAAATATGTCCCCGCTTTTGTTGCGAAGGCGTAAGATTCTTTGAGAACATTGTCATTTTTTCTGCATGTTGTCATCTTTTACTCTGCCTATGCATATTCTTTGGGGAAAAAAAGATTGTGTTAACAGCCTGATTCATGGTAACTTGCTATTCAGATTAATTGTGTCGTCTTCTAACTTTCATATATGACATGAAGGAAGAGTTAAAGCCTAGAAAATGGCCAGAGGAATTACGAGTGTTCTGTGACCTGTAAGAGAAAGTAGAACTGCCACCAGTTCTTCAGTGTTAGCACACTTTTGTACTATGCTAGTATTACTAAGCACAGACCATATCGCTTAAAAATTAATTCCTTAATAAAAATAAGAAGTGCAAATTAAGAAATTGAGCACATTTTATCAGTCAGTGAGATTGTTCTTGGAAACCGAGTCCTTTGTGTATTCCTTTGTGCTTCCTTATACAAACAGTAAGCAAGTATCTGGAATCAGGGTACTAGACAGAGCACAGAAATTAAATGTGGTTCTGTATATTGCTTTTCTGTAGACATGGCTGGATTAAAAGATTTACACACTCTCTTAGAGCAGTTTTCCCTTCCATTATGTTGATTCAGCTGCCTGTGAAACTGTGTGAGGGAATCATCTGGCAAATAAGTTTCTGGCAGCACTGCTGACTGTACTGGTTACCTTTCCCTGTTTAATTACTGACTGTAGAAATGCTTCATAGAGAGCACCTCAAGAGGACAAGAAGAGTGGTCTCTGTGGGTAGGAAGAAATGACAACCACCCAAGCAGCACTTCTGAATGTTTCATTGCCTGCCTTTGATCAGTGAAAGATCTTGGTTTAAGAAATGGATACTCTTACACTTGTTCTCCCTCATGCCCAAATCTCCTAGAGACTATGACAGACGCAAGCCTAGGCATGTGATTCAAATGTATTGGTCCGGCCTGGAGCACCAAATCACAAGCAGATGAATTAATGATGCTAGAGGGACAGGAACAGATGAATTAGTGATGCTGGGCCTGCTGCTGTGAGTGAGCAAGGACAGGAACAAGCAGTATGAACAGTTCATGAACCAGTTTTTCTGACAGAAATATTAATAAAGCAAAAGTGTCATACAGACAGACTGAGATGTCTCTACTTGAAACTTGCCAAGTATTACAAGTTTATCATATACCAAAATGCCATGAACACTTGCATAAAAAGCCAGCAGCAGGATTTACAAGAGTCCCACCATTAATTTTAAAATGTTTCCAATTCTAGACCTTATTTTCATGATTAGCATCCCTGTATCATGGAAAAGTGCTTGCAGGGGAAACCTAGCTGCACAGTTGGCTGGAGCCTCAGAACTGAAATCAAAATAACCTCAGTCAAGTTATCTTTCATATTCAAGCTATGATTTTGGAGGACTTGATCAGTTCGGCAATTCTATCAATGCTACTTGGATTATTTATACACCTAAAAATACGCCTTAGCTTCAGAATATGGCCTTTGGAGGCTTCTCAGTAGCACCTCCTCTGCTGTTCATGTATGACTTTGGTCTGAGTGAAACCATATATGAATGATGCTATTATTTAAAAATAACAACAACAACAACAAAAAAAAAGCCCTCAGCATTTATTTTTCTTATTTCTGAAACATGATTTTAATCAGAAAACAAACTTGGTATATGTTGGCAGAGTGATGTGATGTCCTGGAACACCACTGTGTTTTCACCATTTTCTTGAGGGAAACGTGTTTATTTCATGGCAAGTCACAAAAAGCAGTCTTCATTAACTACTACTGCTATAGTTTGGACTGACTGAGTTTTTAGTTATCAGCACTGCTCATCCTGCGCCTATCTGATTTTAGAAGGAGCTGTAATACAGCAGTTGTACTGTAATTAGGCTGGAAGGGACCTCTTCTGGTAAAATGCCCTACTCAAAGCAGGGCTAAATTCCAAGTTAGATCAAGTCATTCAAGTTCTGGCATATCTTAGACAAATAGAGTTTTATGGTTTGTGATCTTTGGTGGGTTTTTTTTGTGGTTTGTTTAGTTTGGTTTGGGTGTTTTTTTGGGGGGGGGAGTGTGAGGGTTAGGTTGTTTTTTTTTTGATGCACAAGAAGCCAGTGGCTGCAGCTGATAATGTTTTACCTGTAGGTGTAGGTAACATCTTCCGAGTGTCAGCTAAAAGGCTGGTCTTATATTGAGTTTAAACCAGTTGGTTCATCAGCGAGAACAAGATTCTGCAGAGGAAATCAGTTTGGCTGACAGAGTTTTAAACACCATGTTTTAAGAGTAAGTGAGGAGCTTCTCTCTGGTCCAAAGTGCAGAAAGATTCCTGAAAATTTTCTGCTTCACTTTCAGCCTCCACCAAAGCCAAACGTGGTTGGCTTGAAATACTCCTGTAGAGGATAGGGAGAGGTAGTGCTTCCAGTAATTTTGTTAGTTATGACAGTTTTCTGGATGTGATATACAGTATTGCATTAGTTAAGAATGACGAACTCATATATTGTTCATTGTGGTTAAGATTTTATGTTTTGCGTTGCTCTGATGAAAAAGGCTTTTTTGGTTGGTATTTTTCTTGTTTTATTATTGTTAGTTTTGTGTCTTTTCTTTCTTTTGTGACTGACAGTAATTACATAAGTTTTGAATATTAGCACATCCCACAAATTTCTCCTGTTTATTTTCTATCATGAATTTTACTTTTCAGGCTGAATTTAACTTGTTTTTGCCTCTTTTATTACTGTGCTGCTATTTTCCATATTTTTGAGTTGCTGTTTCTATGTCTTTGCTTTGCTGTCTGGATAAAACATTGATATTGTTGCTTAATTAATCCAAGTTGGCTGTTCTTCCAATTCCTACATTAGTTCTAATGTAAAACTTTGCTAATTAATAATAATTATTTATTTTTTTCCCCTCTCCATTTTTGGACAATTTTAAAGAGAAATCAATGGGGGAAGGAAATTGTCTGCTCCCCCCCCCCCTTTTTGTCTTATAAACAGTATCTCAGTTTGCCAGCTCTGGCAGATGGTATGTGTATTTCAATTAGCCTGTAAACTACTTGAAATGCACATCTTTAGAACTCTAGTTTTAAAACAACTTTATAAGCATCTTAGTATTTCCTCATGAATACATCTAGGTAATGAGTAAACATTCCTAATAACTCCCAAGACAGTTTTTTCCCATTAAGTACCTACAGCAACATGCTTCAACTCATCTTCTCTGCTGTCTTTTTAGTCAAGGTATGGTGGGCTGATCATTACTAGTGCTGTCCAGTGCAATGGAGTACTGACCCGCTGAGAATTTGTGGTGCCTCTTCTTTCCCCCTCGCTCCCCTCATGAATGACAGTTGTGCTGTTTTCTTTTGAGGCTTCTTCAAAGTTTTCTTTTGTCCCTATACAGTTCACAGGGATCAGACTTCAGCTCGACTGACATGTAAGAAAGACAACTTTATGCTTAGGCACATAGAATTCAGTTGCCTCCTGTGTATTATATTAAACCTGGAGAGCATTGTGCATGTGCATGTGATTCAGGCAGACTGACCTGCCTGAAAAGGCCACAAGAGCTTGTGGCCACTCCAACCTAGCACCAGTAAGAAATCTGTCTCTGGGAAATACCATTTATCCTCACTGCCTAGATGGAGTTACATCAAGATTTTTCAGTCAAATGAACAACCACAAAGATCTCATGATGGTAAAAAAAATTCCAGGATAAAAATATACACCCTTACTGTTCAGATCAGACTTCACGAAGCTTTTTTCAGAGGTGGGAGGATGGGGGTGGGGATGGGAGTATTTTGGGAAAAAGTATAAATCATTCTGCATAATTTGTGGAAAAGTAACCTGTCACACTTTTCATCATAACATTTTCAACAAACAAAACTTAGAATTTTGATTAAGCACCATTTTCCTTTGTTCCTAGAAAGCATTTACTAGAAAGTTTGGGGTAGATTTAAGAGCAGGAATAAGAGGAAAAAGTATGTTTTCCAGTTTCACCTGGAAGATGGCCTATAAAAAAATTATAAATGAAAACTAAAACCCACTCTTTGAGAATGAAAAAGCAGTCCAGAGATAAATGAAAAATAGCCTTACCACGGACAATTTCAGAGACAAAAGTCCTTGAGTGTCTTCACTTTTTTTTTTTTAAATCTGTGTTTGTACAAGCCCGAGCATAATTTTCCAATAAGATATGTGAGGCAGAGAGAATGAGAATTTGACACTGTGGTGAACAGCAGGAAGATGTACTTCAGTAAGCATGGAATTAGAATTTGCTTAAAGGCTGAAAATTGTATTATGCATCTTTCCCTTAAGAAAAGTCTCCAACAAGCTCTTCAGGAATCTAGTTTTACTTTTCCAGACACATCCACCATTGGTTTTGAAGAAATTGAGTCAACTTGTATTTGGTTTAATATAGGGTAAGGTGAAAGTGCAACACATGAATACACTATCTCTTCACAGAATCCTTTAGGTTGCAAGGAACCTCTTGTGATCATCTAGTCCAGCAACTCTGTTATATCAGGGTCAGCTAGAGCAAGTTGTTCAGGACTGTGGCCAGGTGGGTTTGAAACATCTCTAGGGATGGAGACTCAACAGTCTCAGGGCAACCTGTTCCAGTGTTTGACCACCCTCACCATGGTCACATGGAATTTCATGTATTTTGAGTTGTCCCCATTTTTTCTTCTCTTGTAACTGGGCACTACTGAGAAGATTCTGACTCCCTCATCTTCCCTCCCATCAGGTATTTATACATATAGGTAAGATCCCTTGGAGCCTTCATTTCACCAGGTTGAAAAGTCCCAGCACTATCACCCTCTTCTCATCTGAAAAATGCTCCTTTCCCTCAAATATCTTTGTGGTCCTGCATCAGACTTGCTCCAGTAAGTCATTATCTTTCTTGTACTGGGGAGCCCAGAATGGACCCATACTTCAGATGCAGCCTTGCCAGTGTTCAATAAAGAACACCTGTCTCAATCTGCTGGTATTGGAATGTTCTTTTGGTACCTGTTGGATTCTGAATAAAACTTCCATTCATTTATGACTATTTTCAGATGTCACTTTTTTTTTTTTTCCCCTCTTAGGAAAAAGAATGCACAATGTGACTTACTTTTATGTAAAATTCCCCATGTTTAGGCATCTCTCCTTAAACAGTTTCCTTGTAAAACAGTTCTGAAAAACACTGCTTGATACAAAAGCTATTACTCTTTCCAAGTAATTAGCAGTAAGCTTTAAGCTGAAACTTGTAAATACTCTGGTTATAATTTGTTTTAAAAGGCTGTTTAAAAATTCCGCTAATTACATAGTCTCATTTATAGATCAGCATCAACTTAGTGCTTTTTCTCTGTGGACTTTCAGGAAGCAATATAAACCTTGAACCTGTAAAGCATCAGTGCGTGCTAAGTATCATTCATGGCAATGAGTCCATTGATTGTTTAACAGTATGTTGAGCAGTTGCAGAATGGAAACCTGTAACAGTTGTTTCACAAATGAATAGGTGAAAAGACCTGATTTTTTTTTTTCTTTTTTTCCACCTAACCCTCAAAATTCTGAGTTATAAATCCAATCTAGTAATGTTTTTACTAATGCTAGTGTGGCATCTTTGCGGCTACACAACACTAATGTAAGAACTATAAGATCATTTTGAATATGTTCACACTTCAGCAGCCAACCTGCTCCGAGCTTTACACAACTGTTGTTAGCATGGTCAGACCGAGGATAAGAACATGATATTAAATCTTAACTCCCTTTCAAAAGACTAATCCACCATTGCAGTGTAAATATTCTTAACCAAACTATTCTGCCAAACTTTAAAATAAATCATATACTTGGAGGTAAATAACTTGGGGATTTTCAAATGTAGAAGTTGAAGTAAGGAATCCTACTTACCGATAACAAAAATTATGTTTGATTTCCTCAGGTCTTCTGAAAAGTCTAGAATGAAAAGAAAATTTATTTATTTGGCAAGAGCTACTGATTTTTGATTAGATACTTTCCATACACACTGAATTGTGTAACACTTGAGGTGATCTGATTTTACCAGAGTTACTTTTTGTTATAAGGCTCTACATTCCAAAAGGAGCTATTATCCACAAGCCTATTTATCTCCCAGTTTCATAGTTCTCACTGCAGATATGATAAAAATATTGTACCTGCAAATCAGATCCTGCACATGCAAGGAGAGAAGCTGATGCATCTTGATGTAATAACCTGCCTCCTTAGCCATTGAGATTTTCTCTGTTATTACATTATAATTGCTACAGAAGTTTGTCCACACCCCACTGAGATTGCACTATGTCTAAGATGCAGTCTTAAACTCCCTTGAGCCTCAGATTCAGCCAAATGACAGTAATCTTAACTGAAATCTAAGTATTACTGTCATTTGATCACCCAAACTACTGTATGTGCTACAGCTTCACCTTTTACTGAAATTGTGGTTTTAAAAAAATCAGTTCCTTCCAGTCTGAGTCCCAGTCGTTAGCCTGATTATACCAGTAGAGATCTGGCATCGTCTGAGCTTGCTGGGATTATATTGTCTTTGACTAAATCCCTTACAAGACACATTAATTTACCACATACAAATTGTTTTTCATAACGTGATGTGTACATCTCTTATTACATAATACCATTATCCATAAAAGGTTTTGATTAATCCTTTCATTCCTCTCAGACTCTTAGCATCTCATACTTTCCAACAAGCTTTTAATAAGTTCCAATTTCTGAAAACACCTATGAGAGCTGATGTGATTAACAAGAATATTTTTAATAACTTTGGATCCACTGGCCTAAAGAGTGTAGAAATGTCTTTTGCAAGATTTAATTTGCATTCAAAGAGAATTTATGTAAAAAAATCCTTTGAGACCTAACTTTCACAATATAAATACCTGAATTCACTTTATCTTGTAACTATTTAAATACAAGGGGAAATCAAAGTTTTCAGAACCAAATAACAAGTGACATTGAACAAGAAACTTACCTCCTGTGCTCTCATAACCGAAAAAACTTGATTGATCCTCCTCCTGTTAATTAACAATTGACAAATTGAAATGGACATTCTGCATAATTCACATTTCTTCTTTATCTGATTATCTTTATACCTCAATATCTTCTCCATATTTTAACCTCTCAGTTTTAATCTATGTTGAGATATGGTTAACAATGTCACTGTTGGTACGGTTTCAGTTGGTAGTACATGAGCTCAGAGAACCCAAGATAACTTGAGATGTTTACCTGGCCATGCTGTTTTTGCAGAGATTAGCTTTTTCAGTGCCTAACTGCACAATTCCAGCACACTATATAAGCAATCAGTGTGCATGCTGGATTGCCTCTGAAGTAAATATGGTACAATAAGCTGTTAGTAGTGGAAAGGCAATACTCGAGTAAGTTCTAGAAGTGAACTGCAATATAGAGATGAAATTAAGACTTTGCTCTAAACCAACTTGAATGTGTTTACCTTTGGAATGCTACACAAGCTGCAAGCTGTTGAACTACAAAGAGGGATTACACCAGGGAAATGTAGAACTTGGTTTGTTTTGGTTTTTTTTTTAATCCTGATGTTTGGCCACCTAGAATTATTTTGTCACATGCTATATAGTACAACCAATGAGGAATTACAAATACTGGCCAGCAAGAGTGTCCGAGTGGAAGTTCTTTGTTGTTGTTATAAATCAGAATTACATATACGCTGGACATAGTCTAGGCTCTGGAGTGTCAATATACTCGCGCTATTAATGCTTTAATCTAGTCTACAAAATATCAATAATAGCATTGGCAGTAACATCCTTGTATTACGTCAACGTTGCACAATATCAGCATGGAATACATTATGTTAGTGCTCTCAAAATAGCACGGGGTTATGAAGCTGTAGTTTCCTACAGTTTTGCTTCAGTGTGCTGTCAGAAATAGCCGCTGCTAGAAGTTTGTATAGCTGCATGAACAGATGAAGTGAAATGAACAACATGGTGAATAGAATGGGTGAACTGCTGGTCACTGTCATTTGCAACCCTTGCAGGTTTCTCCTTGTGTTCACATTACCACTGAAACATAAGTACTCTTCATTAGGCTGAAGTATCATTACATTGGCTACACAGAACATTTTCATTTTTTGAATCACAGTAATTCTCAGCCTATTACACTGCAGCAGAACTGCCATCTTAAATATAAAAAAAGGGGAGGGGGGAGAGGGGGCAAAACTGAAAAAGCAGCTGGATCCACTAAGTTTGCAGGAGAGTATTTCAGGGGGAAAAAAAACAACCCAACACTTTCAGATGAGAAATTAATCTTTTTCCTACCATTCAAGGGACAGTATTATCCCTACCTTTTTCTTTGATGTAGTAATACAGTAAAATATTTGACCCCGCAAAGAATATATTACATATAAAAGCCCTGGGTTTAGATTCAGTCACTTACCATGACTTTGAAGGTTTACAGGTCAAAATCATTGTAGGCACAGGGTTTCTTTAAAAATGAAGATCACAGTCCTAAGTTTATAGTCAAGTGAAAGAGGCATTACTACTTTTAAGTACTGCTCTTTGTTCTCCCTTGTAATTGCAGAATAAAACTGCCTCTGTAACCCTGGTGGGCTGTAGGTAATAATAAAGGTCAGTTTAAGTCAGGAACAGCTCTAAGTTTTTAGAGCTGAAATATGTAAAACTAGAGACAGAACTGAAGCTAAATAGGCTATCAGCTGCCTTTTTTTTTTGACCAACCACATCTGCTTTAATAGAACAACAGGTTAATTGACCAACAAGCCATGCTCACATAAGGAACAAGTGCTATGAAAAGCCATTTAAGTGAATTCTAATTGCAACATAAAAGCAGTAAGTGTGAAAGTGACATTGATGAGAACCCAGAACATCAAAATAATGACTTCTGTTTCTGTCTGTAACTGCTCATTTTTCAGGTGCAGAAATAGTTTTCAAAAGAACTGCATTTTTGTTTTCCGCTTCCCCCCCTGAAGGACACCTGTTTCATAATTCCGTAAGACAGCTCAGTGCAGAGCTTGGTGTAAGTGGGACCATCACCCCTGGTGAACTTCCCTGGCTAAAAATAAACCCCCCTGTATTTCAAAAAATAAGTTATTCCATAAAAACAGTTTCTCAGACAGAACTGAAGAGCACCCAGCAGGGGTGTAAAGAGGACCTGAAAGCCTGGTCTCTAGGAGAGATGTAAGAAAAGTCAGGAGTGACAAATTAGAACAGTTGGGCTACAATTAATTTGGCTTTGATGACAAGCTATTCCTACCCAGGGTTTGCTATTCTATGCTAAACTAACTTAGAACCATTTCCTTTCACCCCTTTCCTCCCAGTTTCCTCAAAAGTACACCAGTTTTTCTGCTGATCTAGGTGAGAAGCTAGATCTGCTGTTTGGTTTGCAGTCCCTTGTAAAGAGCAGCAGAGACTGTTCTTCTGGTTAATGCCAGTCTCCTCTTATTTATATTTCACAATACCTATTTCTTATTGTGTCTTTCTAGCAAGTGGGTCTCTAGACTGTGAATGGCTTAACCTTTATCAGCCTGAAAGTACTGTGCTGCCTGTTTACCAAAGTGCTTCAGAAAATAACTGATGGATTTAGCAAGTGATCATATAAGGAAAAAAACTCCCACATAAGGAACAAGTCCAACCAATTACTAGATTCCTAATAGTATTATACACCACGTTGCCATGAGGAATACAGTGATTTAGGAGCAGAACAGTCTCTGTGCTCTTGTTATAGCTATTTCCATTTAGTTGAAAACAAGGTGAGGAAGACTATAATTTTGCACGTAATGAGCTTTGAAGAATAGTGGGTAGTCTGTAATTTCAGATGCCTTCAGAGCCAGGTTATAGCTATAATTATTATCTGGAAACATATCAGTTAGTGGGGTATAGGTGTGTAACTGCTTAAACACTATCAATAGTAAACTCATTGTTAAATAGATAAGTTTTCTACCTATAAAGAATCTCTCATCCGAAATTTTCCTTCAGAGTTGGAAAATGCAAGCTTCCGACTGTATTCTAACCTTTTGTTGTTTAGCTCATTAATAATAAATATCTGACTAGTAGTATGTGCTTCATAGGTTAATGAGTTTAAGTTACTGCCTGTCTTTGCTGGGTGTGACTTAATTTCCATAATCAAGAAATATGGCAGCAAGTCACTACAAATAATAAGGAAATGATACAGAATTCTCCAGGTCATTGAGTATTGCTACTCATGAATTAGGACCCTTAAGTCATACTGCTTTCAAGAAAGCAATAAAATATGGTTGTTTTTTTTTTTTCTAATGATGGGACATTTCTTCATTAGGATTTAACATTTGTAAATGTTTGTTACCTGATGGAATGAGAAAGCTTTTCTGTTACACATTAATAAACTCTGCTCCAGCCCTTGATGGTTTTTTTTTCTATTTTTGTAACATGGAATAAAAAGTTCTCTCTTATCACCTTTTAGTTGCTTGAATGTCTCTCAAAAAATAGTGGTGAAAAGTGCCTGATACATTTTATTCAGATTTCTAACACATATGACAAGAGTTCCTCCTAGAAATTTACTGAAGAGGATAAATAGTCATGGATTAAGGAGCAAAGAGGCAGTCCAGCAAGACTGAATTTAAAATACAACATGATTGTTGCCTAAGCTTATACTCAGTTTTCAAGATTGAATTAAGGGATGTAAACACTCAAAGGAAAATCTTAGGCACAAATTACTTAAGCAAATAAAAATTACGTGTTTATCTGCCTAAAAATATTTGTTGACAGTTGAACTGAATGCATAAGCATTAAATAAAAGTCAAGCCAGCAGCACAGACAAATGTAAGTTTAAGACTGACATAATGTATACAGCAAGATCTATGTAGTTTAATCATGGTGACCTCATCAGCATCCCTTTGGAGATGCAGGTATCTAACCACAAACTTCTCAGCACACTGTAGTTATGTAATTCTCCCTTTGCTTTTGTCAGGTATACAGAACGCTTGTGCTTCTCCAGCATTTTATTTCTTCAAAGAACACTCAAGTTCCACATATATCTTCCCTGTAGTTTCTTCGGGAGTACAGGCAAGGGTGTGATTTCCATTCTAGCAAAGATATTAGGTCAGACTTGACAATGTAAACACAGTTGTATATGGAAACAGAACTAAGTTTAGGACTTACATTTCCACCTTCTCCTCTTTAGCCTGTAGAATATTTACTTTGAAATCTTTGTGCTAGTAAAGTAATATTTAATGAGATTTCAAATGTTTACAGATGATGCTTCTACATCTAGTAGCCTTAAAATCAACTTTAGCTCTCAATGATATAAAATCTTTCACTGACTGAGACTAGTTCAGGAAATCAGAAAGCAGTACAAGATGTCTGAGCGCCATCTGCATATACAGTTTGTATGCTCCAGCACAGTCCGGTCTGCCACAGTCTGTGCAGTTTTAGAGTTTGACATGTGTTTGCAACTGCAGTTATTAGGCATCCACCTAATCACAGAGGATGGTATTTCAGATTAGATGTATGCAGCCTCTATTTACAAAAACATAGTTATCACTGAGTGGGGTCCTTGCATATATTACAAAACATAAAGACCCTGAATAAGATTTAGCTAGTCAAAGCTAAGCATTGAAAGAATTGGGGTTAGTCAGAACTCAGCAGTCTCTTAAATGCCTGTAAGTACTCATGTTTTGTTTTTATGAGATATGCTGGGTTAGCTGCAGGTTTTATGTATGGGCAGTGGTCCCTGGGAATGGGGTTTATGAGCCATACAGTTGTTTGCCGTTAAATTTGATTCATGATTCAAATCAGTTTTTGAGGCTGGGCTGCTTTATGCAAGTATGAGTTAAAATTATGTCTCTGGAAAGCACAGGTGGCTGTGCTTTGATCTCCTCTGGTCCAGAGCTAATGAATATGTCTAAATGAGATAGGGTACAGTATGAATGCATTCAGGCTTCAAGGTTTTTATTTCCCTGCAAGGTGTACCTTCTTATACTGCTCAGCAGAATGGAGTTATTTATGTCAAAAGGGCTAATAGTAATTAAGATAAGAGAACAGTGCTAAGTCAC